ACCCCTTCTGATTACATCTGAACTAATCTTCTGATCTTGTGAAATATTATTCTCTATGGCATTGAGCAGCAATTGAAATAAAGAGAGATGACATTGCTATTGCCGGGAAAAACTTAAGAAAACAGTTTTTTATGGAGTGAAAAGTGCACCATAATTGACTGTAAAGTAACATTTTAGAGATTTTGGCAATAAAAACCGTATCATTCCAAACATACTTGGGGATTGGGTAAACCAAGGGTTAAATATGGGGATGGAAAATATAACCCTTTGTTAAGGCAAATGTGTGAAATATATTACATTGCCTATTACTTTTAATAGCACTAAGATTGGATCATTTGAACACTGTTGTATGAAATGAGATGACCGAGGAGCCTCACACAGAGCATATTAGCCAATGGTTTAATGTACTGCAAAGACTTTCTGAATGCGGTGGAATTGCAGGCGAGGATTGTATTTGACACCAATTGAAACCCTTTTCTGGTTGTGCATTCTCCTGTTACAATGCAAACCGCTGCGGCCATTCATACTCATTGAACCAAAGAATTGAAGTAATACAGAATTGCGAGTCACGGAATATCCACAGACCCTTTCCCACCCCCCCCCCCCCACCTCCCACCAAACTCCTACATGATCCGATTTCAAAATCCTTCACGTATCCATTTATTCGGTGCAGCCTCAGCCAAGGGATTAAGCCAGGGTAAATCAGTTAATTATCTCCACTCAAAACCCACCTTTAGATAAGGATCTTATTATACTCCTTCATATTTTTTTCAGAATTAAATGTAATCCTAGGAACTTGCGTTCCCCCAAGTGGTTCTGTGTTAAGCAGTCAATAGTAAAACTCCCAGACGGCAAGAATCCTAGAGGTAGGTAAATACAGTCAGCCTCATCATTAAGAGAAGAAGCTCAGGGGATGGGAGAACTAGCAAAGTCAAGCCGATCAGGGAGTTTCATCTTACCACAGCTCGAGGTTCTCTTCTGCTTATAGCAGTGCTTAAGTTCAGGACCGAGGAGAGTCGCGGTACGGTTAGCGGTTCTGAAATAACTTTGTCTTTAACTAAATTGAAGTTAAACCTCGAGGATTCTCGACGCCTGTTGTGCGCAATTGGCTGCCGCATTTCACCCACCAAATGTGCAGTGTATTCTGCGAGGCATTTTGAGACGTCTCGAAGACGTGATAAGACGCTATATCAAATGCAAGTATGATTATTATTATTAAGTTGTGGCAGCTGACACTGCTGTGCATAATTGGCTGCTGCATTTCACCCACAAAATAGAGTCAATCCACTTTACAATATATTTTGTGAAGAGCTTTGAGACATCTTAATGACGTGATAAGGCCCTGTATCAAATGCAAGGATTTATTATGATGACTATTACACTGATCGTGTAATACATACATATATTACAAAAACTTTAGGCAGGAAATGCACCGTGTTTAAGGGCGATTAATGGCCAGGGAGGGTTTTCTTCACAAAGTGGGGTGTTCTGGTATCAGCCTGGCTCAGTTGGTGGGCCTCTAACCACTGAGGTAGAAAGTTGTGGGTTCAAGCACCTTGTCACAACTTTCAGCTCATAGTCCAGACTGGCACTCTCTTGCAGTGCTGCATTATCAGAGGTGCCATCTTTCGGATGAGACATTAAACCGAGATCCCGTCTGCTTGTTCAGGTGGACATTAAATATGGTACTATTCGAAAAGAGAAGGGAGTTTTGATGTGCCACAAACAGTCCTGAAGTGAATGACCAATTCTATGTGTGGAGATTGGCCAACAATCCTCCACGTTGAATTGGTGATTCGATTCATGGCTGCTTGTGGCACATCTGAATTTGCTTTTCGGGGGAAAACATTTTTTTCCATTAAGCGATCGACAAAATTGATAGCAAATTACTTTGGTGTGAATAGGTTACAACTCATTTTAGATCAACTTATCTTGAAGTCCCCTAAGATTTTGATAATATCACCAGTGATAATATCACACAGCACATTTTCCCACCTCTCCTCCTCCCCCCACATATTGTGTCCGTAAGTTGAGAATTCATTCGGGTGTGATAGGACTGAAGCTTTTACCCTTAGATGTTACCACACTCTGAGATGCGGTCGTTCACGTAATTTAAAGATGACTTCAAATGGACTTCTCTCGCCTACATTGTAAATATCCTTGTGTCCAGAAGTGATACAGTTAGACAATGCAATGCCTTTCAATACTGTACGGTATGCAAATATTAGGCAGGATATGGCCCCAGGGGAGGGGGGGGAGGGAAGTGGGGAGTGGGGGAGAGAGAGAGAGGGGGAGGAAGAAAATGAGGGATGTGATGCGATAATTATTGCAGGTAATTACCACAGGGAACACGTTATGAAATGCCGCAAATCTCACCCCAAAGAATGTAATTTTCGAGATTGTTCTAACCTACAAGCTACAATTAGAATTCATTACTTGAAAGAATCTGTTCCACAACATAATTATCAGCGAGTGAAATTATCGTTGTGTCCATCAGTTTAAAAGGGTAATTATACATCATCTTTCTTCCACTTGTTCACATGGTACAGAGCAGCTGCAGTGGGTGTGGCTGAGGCGTCCAATTTGATGAGCGCCTTTTGTTTTACGGTCAGAATTGTGCAAATAATGGAAGCTGTGTTCCACACGGCTCCTTGTCACATCGGTGTCTCGAGCATCCAGCGCAGGATCGGGTTGAAGATTCTTACTCTCGCGATCAAAAGCCCTCCGTCTCCTCTCCGCACCCTATACCCCTCCAGGCCCCTCGTCACACTATAGACCCAACCACTCCCACTGAAGACCAGCCTGCTTCATGTCTTACCCCACCCCGCAGTCATTTTGCCCTACCATCAGTAGGTAAGCTTTCAACCATCTTGTCCCTTCTCTCTGCAACTCCATCCTGGAGTCACAGACTCTGACTTGCCTCCCTCCTAACTCGCTTTCAAAACCCACTTCAAGACTAACTTCTTTGACCACAGATGTTTCCTCCCACGCTCTTTAGCACCTTTCTGTGTGGCACTGGAGTGTCTGCCTGCATTATGAACTCAAAGAAGGGAAAAATTGTGCCAGAGTATATAGGCTTACATTTTTTTTCTTAGAATTTCAGAGCTTCTTGAAAGTGTCTACAGAAAACAACAACAAACAACGAATTGCATTTAAATAGTGCCTTTGATGTTGGGAGGACGTCCTAAAGTGCTGGATTTACAAAGGCTATACAGCACGGAAACAGGCCATTCAGCCCAACTAGTCTGTGTCGGTGTTTCCACTCCACATGAGTCTCTACCCCTCTATATTCCCTCCCATACCTTTCTATTCCCTTCTCCCTCATGTGTATATCTGGCTTCCTCTTAAATGTATCTGTACCATCTGCTTCAACCACTGTTTCGGGCAATGAGTTCCAATTTTAAAGCTGTTTTTCAGTAGTTTCTTCACCATCCCCTAAAAAAAGGCACAGTCACTTCACTTTACAGTATATCCTGTGAAGTGCTTTGTGACAACCTCCCGACATGAAAGGCATTGTATCAAATGCAAGTATTATTTTATCAGTTTCCATACTTCCTGATTTACGTCCCCCCTCACCCATCACCACCTCCAATTCCTCACTCGTTGCCGTGTTACCAAAATATCAAAGGGAGACATTAGCAAAAAGAAACAAGTAAGGACATAGAACGCCAAAAACATTGGTTGAAGCAGAATCTGTGATCCCTTTTTAAAAAGGGAATAAAACAAACATCTCAAAAGGAAAAACGCAGGAATGGGATCAAAAGACTGACTCTTTCAGAGACCCGACACAGACACCACAAGCCAAATGTCCTCCTTCTGCGCTGTGAAATTCTATGATTCTGTGATTTCCTATTCTTATCCCTGAATTCTATCAGAAACGCACTGGGGTGGAAAAAAAAATTACATCGCTATGGTAACCCGACGGTGGAAATAATCAAAAGGCACTTCTTTCATCATGTGCACAGAACACGATTCAGGACATGACAAATATGTAACTTGCGCTGTAAATGTGTAACTTGCATAAATAATGAAAAATATTAATTGAAGAGCAATTTAAATTATTGAGGTCAAAGAAATGGAAAGCAAGTTGAGATATGAAATAATTTTGATCTTTCAATTTGTATTCACTGAGAGCAGCAATCCTACATAATTTTGCTTCAGTGAAGCCTTTGTCGATGCCTCCTTGTGGAAACAAAATTGATTGTGGTCCTTCGTGTTTTACCCCTATTTGTCCTTTGGGACTATCCCTGTTGAGTTGTCAGACAGGCAGCCTGGCCTGTTTGTGTTGCTGCCGTTCAGTGACTCGTTTCGAGGGACATGCAGAGAGTAATGGAATGGGTTATCAGGAAATCGAGAGATTGGATTCATTTACGAATGTTTGTGGGATGTCGCTGTACACAATTGCTGCTGTGTTTGGCCCACAAAGTACACAGTGACTCCACTTTACAGTATATTTTGTGAAGTGCTTTGAGACAGCTAAACAACGTTATAAGGCGCATATCAAATCCAGGATTATTATTATTTAAGAAGCAGTTCAATTGGTAGTACAGTCAGCTTCTGAGTCAGAAGATCGTGGGTCCACGTCCCACCCTGAACCCAAATAGCCCAGGCTGACAATTCAGTTCCGACCGGGTGCATTGAGTTGTTGGAGGTGCCATTCTTTAGATGAGACCAAAGTCCTGTCTGCCTGTTCAGGTGGACATTAAACAATCCCATGACACAACTTGAAAAGAGAAGAGAATTGCCTGTGGTGTCTTAGCCAACAATTCCCAAATAGAAAAAAATCAGTATTCACAACATGACTGAGTGTGGGATTTGCTCTGTGCCACTTTGCTGCCGAGCTCACCTACAAAGACACAGTCACTATACTTTACAGTGAATCCTGCAAAGTACTTTGAGACAAATATGAAATATCAAATGCAAGGGCTATTATATCGTTATTGTTATAAATAATTCAGAACTTGCATGACTGACCTTTGCTCCTTTCTTTGAATTCACAGATGAACAGACCGATCCAGGTGAAGCCTGCGGACAGTGAGAGCAGAGGAGGTACTTTATCTTTGTTGCTACAAGTCATAGTGCTGAGTACAACTAAGCTGATTATTGCTCTGTTTCTCAAGCAAGGCTATGTCGAGGGAGGTTTTGTGGCAAAGGCCATCAGTTGTGCAAGGCAATGGCTCCATGGTTCAGTTTCATTGTATTTCATCTTAAAGCTGTCGTGTCCTTTTTTCTAATGATCAATGTTGATTTCAGGTCAGTTTCACCTGTGCAAAAGCGATTGTACAGGGTGTCCACAAAGTCCTATTACTGCCATTTTTTTTACACAGTGTACTAACCAATGACTGAAGAGTGATGATAATAGTATTTAGAAGTACTTATTTGTATTCAGTACAAGTGTTTAACTGTAGTTAGACATCTAGAGTTTCGGTGAGCGTCATGATTTTGCAACATCTTCCATAACATGGAAGGAGTGACGAGGGTAAATACATCTCTAACAGCTTGTTTCAGCTCCTCCGTAATTTCATATCGCAGTTTTGCAACAGGGGAATAAGAGGATTTTGTGGATATCCTGTAGATCCCAGTGGGTTCTGAGTATTTAGATAGCTGATAAGTGCATCACTGAAAAGGATTAAACACAGCAATTCAAGTCATGCGGGGCAATATAGTTTTTAGTTTGATGATAGACCATTCTGAATTTTAAACACTGAAATCTGAAGGATATCTTTGGTTTGGTGGATTGAGGGAAATTAGCTTCCCCCAAAGCACAATAGCTTTATAATCAAGTATATCAAGGAACCAACTGTATAAAGTTGGTTTCTTGTAGTTTTTTTATAAACTGAGAAGCTCTGGCATGCGTGTAGATTAGAGTACAATACAGAGACCTCTGGAACAGACAAGGTGACATTGGTAAGCTTTAACTCTGCCGATCATTCATGTTAACGTTTAATCCTGAATTTCAAACCATTTTGTATTACGCGCCAATGCTAATTTACACGGCAAATGGGTTAAGGAAGATCATAAATATCACTCCAATATTTAGTTCCTAATGCTGCTATAAGCATAGCCTTAGCTTGCTAGACCATTTTGTCTTAAAAATGTTATACCACACAGAATTGTGGAAAGTTCTGCACGATCACGGAATCATAGAATCCTGCAGCACAGAAGGAGGCCATTCAGCCCATCGTGCCTGTGCCGACTCTTTGAAAGAGCTACCCAATTAGTCCCACTTCCCCGCTCTTTATCCATAGCCATGCAGTTTTTTTCTTTTCAAGCATATATCCAAATCCCTTTTGAAAGTTATTATTGAATCTGCTTCCACCATTCTTTCAGGCAGTGCATTCCAGATTGTAATTTGATCTTAAATCTTAAAACAAAATCATTTTGGGACTCGGTGGGATTTCAGACTTGGAATATCATCGTGGACTCAACAATAATTAATACAATAAAGGTTATATAAACTGTAAAAAATGGTGTAGGAAGGTGACACAGAGTTACAGTGTAAAGATTTGCATTTCACAACTGATCAGATGGTCACACTATAGGGAAGAAGTTCCACCTGGGTCTAGTTTTATCCCATTTGCATAGCATTTCAGAGCATCCAGAGTTTGGCAAACCGTTGAATTCAGCCTTAGCTTTGAAGCCGGTTCACTGCAGTTCTTAAAAGAAACTCACACAAAAAAAATAGACTAACCTTAAATCATCCTCGGATTAAATAACATTCATTCGGGTAATTTGAAAGAGATGAGAGGGCATACCTCATAGATGGTGTTGGTGGGCTCTTGTCAGTACATTCAGAGAACTAAATTGAATTTGAGAATCTTTTAGAAACATTTACACACGTATGAATAAGTTAAAACCGGCTGGGTTTGCCAATGTATTTAAATTATTAAGAGAAGAGTTTCCAGAGTTACCAAGGCACTGACCTCAATCAATGGGTTGTCAACGAGAGATAAGATAGATGGTGCTATAATGACTTCAGTGGAGGGTTTACCACATGTTGGTTATTTGACCTTTTTTATATAGACTGTCTGAGGTGTAACAAGCCTTTCAATTTGGATCAATAATGTGAATTTTGAAAAAAAGTTATATGATTTAAATGTTGAAACATTTTTTTAAAGTACGATTAAAAATATTAAAATCCAACAGTTGGGAGGAGAGGGGTGTCTAAAACACAGAATTCACTTCTCTACTTTTGCAAAAGAAGTTTCAACATTTGCTGACGAAATACTACTTCTTGAAGAAATATAACCTCATGAGAAAATTCCGTTTAGTTGCTGCTGGCAGTTTGCTTTTTCAACCAGGTGTTAAACTTTTCTAGGCTACAAAAAAATCCTTACAAAGGTAAGTCCAGCAAAAGGTTGCAAAGCAAAGCCTCTTTGGCCAGACTAGTTTTGTGTTGCTGGATTGTCTTCAGTCTGGCCAGACTCCATGCATGTATGGGATGAAGAAGGTCCTTTGGCCCATCCGATCGTGTCCCTCCAGAACACCCCGCCCTCAGTCACAGCATCAAGCTGATTTATAAACAAGTTCAATGTCCTAGCCTCTGTCACCTTTCCTGGCAACCTGTTCCAGTCGTTGATTACCCCCTGAGAAAAGATTTACTCACTGGTTTCATGGAGTTTTAGCCCTCGCCCACAAAGTCATTTTATATTCTGATTCCTGCGATGCACCAGGGCTTCCAAATCATTATGTTTTACTGCCAGCATCGGTGTATGTATAGAAAGCCTGAGCAGCTTCAATAGATGACTGAGACATGTTGATGTCAAAATGGATCTTATCAACCGCTTGTGTAGTTTATGATGTGATTTGAACTCCTTTATTGTCCTAACCATAGGATAGCATCTAGGCACAAGGTTCAGATCCCTTCATAAACCCTAATGCTGTGACACTGTCATACAATAAAGTATAAGGTGTGCAACTCCCTCAGAACATGTACTGTAATTAATCCCAACATCAGAGCATTCAAACTACATAGTACCTATCATAGATGTGAGTTCTATTCTGGTAGTTGGACTAAGGGCACCTGCCATTCATTGCTGTTTGCCGTGAATCCTACTGTCAACCAATGCAAACCTCAGCAGAAACACAATGCCTCCCCACCCCAACTGGACACACACACACACCAACTCTACCTCTGTATGTTACATCGAACAACACAAGTTAATGCGTCCTTAAGGTGTTGTGATGACATTGATAAACTGCTTGTATTTTGTTCTTGTGGGTACAACTTAATGTGTATGGTTAGTCATTCTGCTGGATTTACTTTTGAGAGCAAAGGGAGAAATTTGCAGACCTTTCTACAGGAAATTAAATATCTTGGGTGTGTTCGTGATAGATTGCATTTGGTCAATGAAAGAATGGGCCTGATGGATGAGGTGAATCTTTCATCTTCAGTGCTTTCCTATGATCTGCTTCTCTAGGCCTATAGAGTAAGCACAGCTCCTCAATGCATTGCTCCCTTGTAACATTCCCCTTATACATATGAACTCTAACAACACCGATGATTTGTTAATTAGTGCCTAGTCCATATTCCCACGATCCACATTCCACAAATACAGGGCTCGCAACTTCAATTGCATTGCAGTAACATTGTGCACTAAAACCCAGCTTAGCCCGGCTCTGCTCCCAGAGGATTTTCACAGTTTTGCTGCACTTATAGAACCGATCCCTCATGAATACAGCGAGATTGGCAATAACTACCAGAGGTAGCACGTGGAAAAACTATGCCTTAGCACTATGGCAGTATTGTACATTTTAATGGGTTCCGTACTGGAATAGAGGACAGAGAGTTGCATAAACTCTGAACTCCATCCTAGATTAACACGTTAGTGTAGTGCTGGGGAATGGAAATGATGGGGTCTTCATTCTTAACCCTGACGATAAGCAAAGATGGATTCGGCTTCCACTTTTCAGCGATTTAATTGATCAATTCAGATAGCGTGTTTTTCACCTCATTGCCCTATTATTTCTTTTTTTTTAAAAATACCGGGAGGTTGGTTCAAGTCTATAGCAGGTCTGAGTTTACAAGTGCTGCTCATAACCTGCTTTTCCAGGTTATGACATCGCCTGAAACTCACAATGCAGTTCAACCTTCCAATACATAAGGGGTCCTGATTGTAAAGGTCCCCTGTAACTGCAAAGAAATGAGAGTGCATCTCACTGCACTTAAAGCCATTGTTCTATCATTAGAGCCATCCATCACTGCCCCACTTGACCTGTCCGTCAGTTAAAAGAACTCCAAAAACTTTCCACTCCTCCTGTACGTTTAATACATCAATGCTTTAAGGCTTCATGACGACTTCTGACCTTTCAACGTGGTCATACCCAATCTGGAATTGTTTCCTTGTTACTCTGAAGGGCATTGCTTCCACCCATGTTGGACTCTCGAACCACATGAACCGGCCTCACTGAATAGATGTTTCATCACTGCACTCAATACTCAGGGCCATTACACCATCGCAATCATGATTCAAGGTCACTTAATAACGTTAGAAATGAGCATTGCCTTCCACTTTCCAGTCCCTTTCACATTGAACCATGGATTAAAATATACATGTAATGCTTTTATAGCTTTTATAGCATTCCCAGGTTCCTTCCTTTCAAAGTATGTCTCAAAACGTACCTCTTTGCACGTGCCTTCAGACATGTTTCTCCTCCTCAGATCCCTCTCCCTCTCCCTCCAGCTCCCACCCTCAGCTATGGTGCCCGGCCAGAACTGTCAAGTAATTTGGATATCCTCCTGACGTGAAAGGTTTTGTATCAATGTAAAGTGTATCGTATCGCACTGCACTATTCATTCATCTCCAGTTTGAGAAAAAAAATCTTTAATATTTCTTAATCTCTGGCAGCATGTGCAGTTCATAGTTGGAATGAGCTCTACACGTTGACTAGCAACATGCTATGTACCAAAAAAAACATAGTTATCCTTCACATCCTGTACTGATCCTAAAAAAAATACCCTGTGGATTCTCCTCATAAGACTGTGTTGCAAAACATGTGCCAATTGAGTCTGACATTTCAAGTCTAATGAAATGTGGGAGTATAAGACC